ACCTGCAAAAGAAGAAATATTTCTAAACAAAGGCGAGGATCACGCCATCATACCAATTCGCGAATTCTTTTTTTTTTCCAGCGCATATAGATCTCTAGATACTTAATAGAAGTACACATTGTTCAACTTAGTTCATAAGGCGAATTTTGGCTCAAATCTTACCGTAGAAAAAAGAAAAAAAGGGAAAATTATCGCTGATTTCTTTCGCCCGCTTTACTCTCAATGATATCCCGTGTATTCTAAGCGATTTTTCTCTCTAAAGCGTTCCCAATATGCTATACGGGCAGATACCCATAAGGCAGTTTGCAATACGGCACAGGACTCCGAACATACAGGACACCAAATTAAAACGGCCGGAAAGTACAGATAACAAAGTCTGGCTGATCTAATGGTACAATTTTAATCCAAAATGTGATAAAGACGGATTAATTAAAGAGAAGTTTCCAGGGATTCCTGGTGAGATAAATCTCGTGATGGGAATGTAAGTTGTTTGCTTCTTGACTCCTTGACTCCCCCCATCTTAGTCTCGTACCCAGACGTTCCGCGGCCAAGCGGTTAGGATCTGGATACGCGATTACCCCGCAGAGGCCGGGGTCTCGAAAGCGGCCGTAACATACTTGTACAATCAAGCGTTTCAGTTGGAACAATATGTTTGTATTTTGGCAAAACTCATTATGATCTCTCCGGAAAGGAAACATTTTTTTGCCGAGAGGGCATGGGTTGAAGATTTTGAGTCGAACTTGTAAAGATGGCGCTAGCGAACTCAGTAAATGATGAGACAAACTCGTCGTAACTTAGGCGAAATGAAAGGGGGAGAAACCTCCAAAAATAGCGCTGAAGAATAGAATACGTGCCAAACGAAAAAAGGAAAGTGTTGGAAGCTAACATTTCAGCTCTAGCTTTCGTGCTTCAGTGTCAAACACGATTTGGCAGACTGATAAAGAGTGCGGGGGAGGGTCAGTTAAGAGAAATCCATTTTGCAGTTCTTGGTGGCTTTTAATGCTATTTTGAATCAAGGTACTTGTACATACGACGCAACGTGAAACTAGTGAGTCCTGTAGAAATAAGAACAATTTTATTATTTGAGTTAGTTAGTTTGAAAATGCCTGTGACGTCATGTGAAAACCAAGAATACCGTGTCAAAGTCATTCGGCATTCAGGCAAAACAGTCAGACTTTTAAAGAAAACCTTCAGTATAAATAAATACTGGAAGCTTAATTCTACGTGGTCGAACAGTTCTTTGAGCAACTTGCATTATTTTCATCTAGTCATCTCAAAGCTTGAGATGTCATTATCGGGTCTGGAGAGTGTTTTTGTAAATGCAGATCTCCCCTCTTGCTCTTATTCCTCCGGGTTCTCTTTGTTTGAGACCCTTTCTGTAGTAATTCCAAAAAAGACACTCTGTACTGCCTATTCATGAAGCCGTAAATGAGAGGGTTGCTTGCATGACTTACGAAAATCAATACAAAAGATGAGAAGTCTAGCCACAGAGGTAATTCAAAATCGGAGTTTAAAATCTCGATGAAGTTGACAACAGAAGCAGGAACAAAGCAAATTATATACGATACAACCACTATTATAACAGCAGAAGTTATCTTATATTCATCTGAACTCAGTTTACTTCGTTCTTGATGAAAATGCAGACTCCAAACTCTGTTTCTGTGCAGTTTCACGACTTGAAAAACACGGAAATAAGCGAAACAGATAATTACCAGAGCTGGAATGGTCATTGTACCAACTAGGAAAAATGCGTACGAACTCTTCGTGCGAAATCGAAACAAGCAAAGGCATTTGCCAGGATCGAAAGCATAACTCGACCAGCCTACCAAAGGTGGTACAGCGTACATCAAAGGCAGTGTCCAAATGAACAAAATAATAATCATAATAGACTTGGCAGTGAATATCTTGTCGTATTTTTCCTCATGCATAACCTTGAAATATCGATTAATGCTGATGGTTGTTAAGCTGAGCATAGATGCGAGCACAAACTCCACAGTCAAGAAAGCTGTGATTTGACAAATAGTTTCGCCAAACATCCAGTACCCTCCATTTATAGCGGTAACAAGCATAAAGAATATGTTGCAGCTCTGAAGTGTGTCCGCGACGGCGAGGTTAGCTATCAAAATATGGCTTCTAGCTTTCAGTCTTGAAGAACTTTTGATAATCCACACAATGAGAAGATTTCCAGCCACACCGACAGCCATTATGAAGGTAAGAACCAAGCTGCTAAATGCCACAGCTACCACCGAAAACATTGCGTGTCTAAACAGTTACAGATCGTTGATTACCTTGACAGTTTTGCAAATTTGTTTACTGAACCGCTTTCAGTTCCCTTTCTCATGAAAACATCCAATTCTTTCGGCTACAAGATGCCTTTGATAAGGCAGCGCATGTGCAAGTATGATGAAATTAAAATCTTGCGGCTAATGTTTAAGAACTTGTCATAAGTTTTTTATAGTAAGTAGAGCTATCTGATCAATGTCTTCACGACAGCTTGAACAAAGTGATAAATGAAGTGGTGTTCGACTTTGTAACAAAAACATTCACAGCTCACCAAGAGTCCACAAAGTTTCAAGTGGATTGTAAATTGTGTGCAATTTATGTTTATTTGCACGACAGAGTGCCATTAGTGCAGTGTAAATAAAGGAGTGGTTTTATAACAAAAAAATAGATGCTTCGCGAAATTTTCCATGGCTAAAGCAACTGTTAGGTTAATATCGATTAAAGAACAATCTATAAGCTGTAAATCGAAAATTGAACTGTAAAATTCATCATCGTTTTGGCAGAGATATTGTTAAAACAAGGTCATTAACGAAGCCTGTTTACAGCCTCAAGGTTAAATCGCTTTGCATAATTCATAGAAATTTAACTTAACATAAGGCGGATATCACGAAAAGTAACCACAGGAAAAGGTTTTTGAAACAATTGTGATTTTATTGAAAAGCAATAAGGCAAAAAAAATAATCATTTTAGATTTTGGGTAAGAACTAAGGCTGAAAACTCCTCGATAACAATCCACTATACATAAATAATTAATGAAATCTATCTTTACGTCCCTCTTGAGTTTGCATAAACTTTCCTTCGTCAATTAAACGATCACTTCAGGCGCCAGCGGAGAAAAGCGTCGGCTTGGAAACGAGGAAAATCACCTCGTACCTTTGTTAAAGAGGCGAAGACTGGTAACGATACAACAGCCAGTTAAGAAAAAGACGTTTGCTTGGTCAGCGAGATGGTTGTGCATCTTCAGCATGTACGATTGAAAGAGGGTGCGGGGTCAGTCTCGTCGACCAAACTTAAATGCATTGTCTCAAATATCGCCTTTACATTGTGAACTCAAGTAATATGTTAGTTTATAATGAGTGGTTTTTGACATGACTTGTTGAGTCCTACAGATTTTTACGGGGACATTTCAGCCTCAGGATCAGAGGTTTCCACAAGTTGGGCTTGCTGCTTTATTGGAATTATGCACAGCTTGAATGCGATTGTGCATCATTAGGGAAACTAAGTCCAAGTTAAGATCTCGCTTTCTGGATAGCCAAATATCCTTCTTCTCAGAAGACGTGTTTCCTTTATCTTTAGTAATCTTTCTTGGGAATATATCTGCATGGTTCCTTTCAGCAAAAGGAGCTGAGCAACACACATCCATTTATTAATCCGCACTTCACATGTATTATTTTCATATGTTCAGACTAATTTTTAATTGTCGTCACTTAACCGGTTTACTGCGAACTAACAGAATGACCAGCTCCCCAGTTGGCTTGTTAGCTCAGTTGGTAGAGAACTGCATCGGTATCGCAGAGGTCATGGGTTTAACTCACGTACAGGCCTGAATTTTTCAAGTTCATGACTTATTCTCACTACTAAGTTAGCAGCGTGCATTGCCACAAAGATCACCTGACTCTCATATTCATTTATTAATCCGCAGTTCACATACATGATTTTCATGTATTCACAGTCATTTAGGCAAAGTAATAAAGCTCACTGTAAGATATGTAACAAAACGAATGATGCTGTTAATCAAAACCCAGTATAACAAAATTCTCGAACGAGTACACTTAAGGTTGATTCCACCGAATAACTTCTGGAAACATGGATTGCTAGCCAAAGATTAGATTGAAAACTAAACACATGTGATAGAGAGATTTAAAAAGTCATTTGCAGTCCAACGCAGTATTGATAGTATTGAGTTTTTCGTTTCTACAGCTAACTTATCAACCATCATGTACACAATGTTGAGACGACTTAGTTAACCCTTAAACTCCCATGAGTGACCGAGACAGAATTTCTCCTCACTACACCAATACAATATCAAGCAGACAAGTGATGAGAATAAAGAAAATTATTGATTCAATACCAAATTCTCCAAACTAGCATCACAAGAACTATATGGTAGACAGTAACTAGAGAATTACTAATGAGATCCTAGGAGTTAAAGGGTTAAATCTCTCTCTTCCAAAAATTTTAAATAAATTTTAACCGAACTTAGGACCCAGCAAAACGCATACTGAACCGTTTCCAATTTAGCCTCAGCTAATCTAAACGTTGATTCTTATTTACGGTGTTAAGAAACCTAATTGCTAACACCTGGAATTTTTTTTTTTTTTTACGGAATACGGTTATACAAATAAATTTTCGAGATCATTCGAACGTCCAAACGACACTTATTAAGTAAAAGTTCGTTTATTTAAGCAGCACGATATGTTTTCTTAGCCTCCTGTACGAATATATACATCTTAAATCGATGAAAGCAATTTTCTGTTTTAGCAGTTTAGTTTTTAGCTATTACCGTGATTTTCTACGGCTTTTTTTTTCAATTACCTATTCCTCAAAGAAGTTAGTAGTTTCGTACCACCCTTAGACAGATTTCGAACTTAGGTATTGTTTAATGTTTTCCAAGTAAAAGTAACAATGTCAGTTCCCTTATTTTCAAATCGAAGTTTTCTTTGTACGAGACAACTGCTCGAGGAAGACTAAAACTCAGTATTTTCCTTAAATGTCATGTGACCGCGAGATTAGGACGCGTTCAAGATGGCTGCTCATGAACCTCTAACGTTAGCTCGAGGTAAATATTTCTTGGACACTTCTTAACGCAAAACTATTTTCAATTTCAGACGATGACTTGACTTAACAGAATCTTGCTTGAGCAACTGTATTATGCACTGAGATCGAATGCCATCTTAATACACATTCGATTAATTTATTTTGCTCGCCTTATTATAACCTTCGATTTCATAACTTCAATAGCAGTCGTAAGGTTTGTGTTTCGACTATATTTGGTGGGATTAGATTTACTTGAATAAGTAGAAAATGTACTTTTTCCATGATGTATCCCAATGCGGTTCACTCTATGCTTCGTTGAGGAGAAAAACGCTCTAAAATTCGAAATCTTTGTGTTGTTATTGTTGAAAACATCTCTGGATTGTCGTCCTTAGTATGCCCTTCCGTCACGAGCTTGCCTGTATAGTTGAGATATTTTGATAGGTTGTGTCTATACTGGCCTATCGTTCATTAAAATGGGTGTGGAGCGTATTTCCCACGATAGAAAAGTCCTTATGAATTGATCATATGGGGAGGCAATTTCGTCGTAATTGTACTAGTTTTTCTTTAAGGCCTAAATATTACAGGGCAGAGATTCGCAATTTAGTCAACTGTAAATTTTTCAGGTCTTGTATGATTTTAAGGAAAACCATGATGTAGCATGTGTAAATCTATGCTGAGAAAAGTTTTAAAACCAATTAAAGAGCTCTTTTCTCTAACTGTAGATGTTAATCGTGCCATTGAGCTGATTGAAAAGCTACGCTCTAGTAAGTAACATTTTTATTTGTAAATACCAGCTTTGTTGATAGTGGTAAAACATGTGTTATGGTGTGTAATACTATTTACTCTGTTACTAAAATCATTGTTTTCCAGGTGGTGATATTCCTCCAAAGAAACTTGAAGCTTTGCAAAAAGTTCTTCAGAGTGAATTTTGTAATGCCATCCGTGAGGTAAGCCAAATGTTGTGGACTCACTATGCTCAGCTAAGTGAGTCCACAAAAAATTTTGACCACTGTGGTAATGAATGTTGTTGTTGATAAGAGTACAGACCATGCTAAACCACTGCTGATTTGTTTTTTTCTGGCAATATAGATGTCAAATAAAAGGATTCTTTCAGTGCACAACCATAGTGTAACACATAAACGTGAGCAGCTCTGTACTTTAATTGGCAATGGCAAATTGGCCAGTTAGATTGCAACATTACCTCCCATTGTGGTAAAATCTTTTGTTCCCAAGAATTTAGCAAGTGTTAGCAGCAGGCCATGTCATGTTGAAATTCAACTCCTGATAAGGCAGTTTCCAATAAGCATGTATAGACATATACTATTTCAATGACAATTTACCTTCCTTTATTGTGTTTTCAGGTGTATGAACATGTTTATGAGACTGTTGACATCCAAGGCAATCCTGAAGTGAGAGCTCAGGCCACAGCTAAGGTGATTAAACATGCTACATCTTTTTTTTTTAATTTCCTTGAGTTCTCTTCCCAACCTTAGCTATTCAACCTTTCAGGTCCCAAAATCCAATGAATATTTCTCACTTCTTACTGCCATACAGTTCCTTGTGAATTAGTTAGGAGAATTAAGTGATAGAGCAACATATTACCCTCTTGCTGATAAGCTTTTCTCTTCTTCTTACCTTACTTGTCTGCAAAACTTCTTCTTCTTACCTGTTTGCAAAACTAAATGCATATGCAGACAACCATCAGATTTATTCATCTAACCTAGACCACTTGCACTGGAAGAATGCATTTGTCAAGAAGTTAATGTCACAAATCAGTGGTATAAAAACAATGGTATGATTGTTAACAAGAAAAAGCACCAAGCTCTAATCCTGGGAGAAACTGAGCACAATTTTTGTTTCCCAGTAAATAAGTCAATAGATATATTTGGGATGACAGTAGATAATAGGCTCTCTTTTGATAATCACATATCAGTTATCTGTAAGAAAATAAATAATCAATTTAATGTAATGCTTAGATTTTGGAAACTTATTAATAAGGAGATGCTATTGAAGCTTTATAAAGCCTTTATTTTGCCGCATTTACTGCTGTTCTTCTGTTTGGCATTTCTGTGGTATGTGCAATGCCGACAAAGTAGATAATCTAAATAAGTGCATTTTTAGGTTTATACTACAGGACTACAGCTCTCCTTATGACATTTTACCGAGCAAAGTTAACGTAAAATCTCTGTTCATCAGACGCCTCCAGAACTTCATGATCACATTATATTAGAGTCTGCTCTTTACAAATTATCCGGGTTATTTAAAAGATATGTTCACCATATGCTCTTCATCCTACAATTTGTGCAGAAATCTTCCCAACCCAAAAACAAAGACTTATGGTCTGCACTCTTTTCATACTTAGCTAGTAAAATATGGAACTCTCTCCCAGACACTTACAAAATGTTAAATTTTCAAGAATTCAAGCAGGAGATCCTCAGATATGAAGCTTTTCCACAGTAGATCTACAAGTTATATGTCCCTCTGCATGCATAATGTTGTATATGGTTTATATATAATATTGGAATTGTAATATAGCATATTTTGTTTTATTTTAGCTTATTTTCTCGAAGAAATTAGCTCTACAGCTACACTGTGAATTTCGAGCATAAATAAAGTATATGTATGTATAAAGTATGTAAGAGAACATGTTAGAAGAAGTGAAACTGTTGTGGTCAACTTTACTAAAAAATTGAAAATACCATCAGGATGTTAGCTGTTTTGGCATTTTAAGTTCATGTCAGCATGAGGACTCACATAATTAATAACTTATGAATTATTGTGAAGTATATATTAGTTTTTTTTTTTCATACAATCACATGATTAAATCCTTCACTTCAACATTTTGTCAACATATTTTCTGTTGTCAACTTTATCAAACTTCTTCTTAGCAAATTTTGAATGCAGTGGTGTTTATTTGTAGGCCACGATTGCTGCTTTTGCTGCAAGTGAAGGTCACGCACATCCCCGTGTGGTGGAACTTCCCAAGGTAAGCAGAAACATTACAATAAATGTAACAGTAATACAATAGAAATTATTTAACCCTTTAACCCCTTAGAGTAATAAGCATCAAATTTCTCCCAACAGTACCACTCTTTAATCAAGCATTAAGGTCATGAGAATAAAGGAAATGATTAAAACCCAAAAAGCTCTTGATTGTTAGCCAAATTCTCCTTCTGAGTACTATGGGAAATGTATAGAGAACAGTATGGAGAACTTACAGACTGATGTTAGGGTGTAAAGGGTTAAGAAGCCTAAATTATAAGGTTACAAGGAAGATATTTCATCAGTGGTTTTGGTTCAGCAAGATCTTCCTGTGCTCAATGGCATGATTGTAATTTGGTGAATTCAGAAGTATTTCCACCTTTTCAATATCCAACTGACATGTTTATTTGTGTTCCAATTAACAAATAGATTCCAAGTTGCCATGCATCTGTTCAGTAATAGATCACAGAGGATGTCAAAATGTGGTAAGAACTAAAAAGTGGCACACGAGGTGCAGCATAGTGTGTCACTGATGTTCTTACCACATTTTGATGTCCTCTGTGATCTATTACTGAACAGACGCATGGCAACTTGGAATCTATTTGTTTTATATAATAAAGAATTAAAAAAAGTTTAAATAATGACATCATCAGAATGCGTGCATAACTGAGTTTATTATATAATATTTTATAGTAATGTTCTGTTGATGCTGCATGTTTCCTTTCAGAATGAAGAAGGGCTTGGCTTTAATGTGATGGGTGGGAGAGAACAGAATTCTCCCATTTATATCTCTCGTATTATCCCAGGTGGTGTGGCTGACAGGTGTGTTGATAATTTCTTTTAACCCTCTTGATTGGGAAGTGTTCAACTTGTCAACTCGTGGTGCTGGGTTGGGGGGTGTTACTAGATAATTTGGTCACCAACTGAGTTGATATGAAGTAGGCAGAGTAAAGAGTTTCTTAACTGATGTTTTGAGCATCAGCCCTTTATCAGAATAGATAGACAAATTGAGGGTTGTTTGGTATGAATAATTCCATCTCTTTGCATTTGTTATGGTTCAAATTATTTTTTTGGTTTCATTTTTTTTGAACCAGTTTAATTTTTTTCAAACTAGCTTAAAATTTCTAAACTAGGTTAAAATTTTTTAAACTGGGTTGAAATTTTCAAACTGGGTTGTTTTAAATTGTTGAAATACTCTTGGTTTGGTTAGCTGTTTTCCCTCCATTCTCAATGTTCCCATCCCAAACAAGGTACACCTAATAGAATTTAAAGAGAGATAATTCTTGTTATATCATTGTAGGAATGGTGGCTTGAAGCGTGGGGATCAGTTGCTCTCAGTCAATGGAGTGGTGAGAAAATTTTTCGATTGTTTGTTACTACCAAAAGCCTTTCTTTTATAACCTGTCGAGTGGAAGTGAGTCACTGGAAATTCAGTATTGATATTTAATCCTCTAACTGGCATGAGTGACCTAGACAGAATTTCTCGTTACAAAATTGATACAATATCCAGCAGGCAAGTGATGAGAAGAAGAAAAATATCAATCAGTGGATTATAAGTTGATCCAATACCCAATTCTCTGAACTTAAATGGCAGACAGTAAGGAGAATTTCTAATGCAATCTTGGGGGTACCTCTCTTGGATGAAATAGATAGTTATTGCCATCCTTGTCGTTTTTTTCCTTCACCATTGTCATTGTTTAAAACCTTGCTCAATAAGCAAGTTAGTAAGATGATTTATTGGGGTTTGTTAATCCATTCACTGTTATATTTTGCAGTGAGTCTTACACAAAAACATTAGTATATGAGATGATTCGTGAATCAGAGATCACAATCTATCTTTAGCCAAAAGTTGACATGGAATTTATATATTGGCACTGGATTAATGAGCTTGACTTAACTTCATTATTTTTCAGAGTGTTGAAGGAGAAAATCATGAGAAAGCTGTTGACCTTTTGAAAGCAGCTGAAGGTAGGTTGAATAAAACTCTGGCACAAAAAGCTTGAAGAGTGAAAGCAAATGAAAGCATTCTTTTGATGTAAATAAATTTTTTTTTCCATTGTTCCATAGGAAGTGTCCGTCTAGTTGTGAAGTATACACCAAAACGTGAGTATTTTTTCAGTCATCATTTTGGTTTGGAAAAATTTTTTTTTGTTGTCTTTGCTTCATTTGTGAATGTAGCAACTATGAAATAGAACTGGTTTCAAAGACAACAACCAAGAGCAAAATTAAACAGAAACTAACTCATTTGGTCAACTAAATTGATTCCAAGTCTATGATACTTTCTAGGATGACAACAAACACATGATTGTATAGCCCTGTTGTAACTTTTTAAGTGTGTTGAAGTTTCCCCCTCAAATGTGTATGAGTGATTTCATCTTTGAAGCTAGTGAATAATGTATTCAAGTGAAACTCTTGTGATTAATTTGGTTTTTCAGTGCTGGAGGAAATGGAGGCCAAATTTGATAGACAGCGTGGGTCTCGTAGGCGCTGGTTAGTAATCAAATTAGATGATGCACCTTATTTTAAACCTGTCTTTAAAAATTGAAAGGTCTATAAACACTGTGTTTTGGTCAGGCTTTTGTGCTACTTAAAACTAAGTTTTGTCTCTAAGCAATCTTAAAAATTTTTAACTCTGCATTCATGAACACTTGTAACTCTTAATTCCCAGAAGTGATCAACATACAACTTCTCCCTATAATATTCATACATTATCTAGCAAAAAGGTAATGAGAATGCTCAAACTTGTCAGGTAGGACTTGTGATCTAACAAAATTTTGGTTACCAATTAGCAAGGAAATGTGTAGCAGCTAGAGGGGAGAATTAACAATTAGATCATGGGATTTAAAGCGCTTAGAGCCGGGTACCTCATATTTCTGAGACTAGAGCCCTCAGTTTTCCATTAATTCTTCTAAGAGCACTGCTATGTTTGTGTGTGTTAAATTATGGGTTCCTTTTTTTCTTCATGAGTTGGGTCTTCCTAAAATAATTTACTGAATATTCCTTGATGTCTATCAAGAGCTGAAAAGGTTTGGCTGAAATGATTTCAGGAACTATCACTCCTGCATGGAGTCTGGAAAAAACATGTCACACACATTGTCTAGCTTTAGGTAAAAGGAGATATGGGTATAGGCTGACATATTGTCATGGCAACCCATAAAATATGTTAGGGAATGCAAAGGATGGTTCAGTGCTAAATTTACTTTCTATCTTTTGGAGGTTTCATGTATGAAGTATTGTTTTAAATTCGCAATGGCAGATTTTCCAGCTATGTCAATTTCATGTCCTTTGCAACCACTTACACCTAAGTGTTCCACTTGCTGAGTTGTGCTTTACAACTTGCAGTCTTATTTTGTCTTTTTTCTTACAAATTAACTCCATGAGATGAAGTCAAAACACCTTTGTTTTTAATACTTTGCCATTTTCTGTTTCAGATTTGTGAGGGTGGAGATGTAAAAATTCCTTGAAGCAAGAGTTGGTCTGACCAACTCGAGGAACAGACAGCATTGTACATGACAGCCATGTACTCCAATACTCTTAACAGTGTTTTCATTTACAAAGCATTTTTTTCATTGTGAAGAGAGAGTTTATTTGTCGGTTTTTATTTCTTTTTATCCTCCTAGTATTTTAGTGGAATTATTTGTACTTCAAAACAGGATGTCTCAAGAAATTTTGCAAATGTAGTGCTGGCTTTTGTTTGAATTATATATTAGTAATCAACAACTTTGTAGGCATTGTTGGCAAAGGACACTGCTAACTTTGTAATTCAAAACCAGTAAACTTATAGTCAATTTTTGAAATTTGTGTCTTCTTCTCTGTTTTCTTTAAGAACTTAAGTTATATTGGGAAGGTGGATTGATCTAATCAAGGAGCTTATGGGTTCTGTTTATACCAACATCTTCAAAACCATACTACAGTGGAACCCTGCCTCATGGTGACTTTGGTTTAAATACAGTCACCTTGTTATTACAGCCACTTTTCTCTGGCCCTGCAAAAACAGCAATAAATTTTTGTTTAATAACTCCTTGTTAATGTGGTCACCCTTTCATACAGCCAACAGCCACATTTTGTCATCCTTTATCATTTCACCTTGTAAGTATGGCCACTACCACTAGGAAACCAAGAGGCCTGTATATCTCAAATAAAGAGTTTTCTCAATGTCACATGAGAAGGCTTCCATACACTTGAAATGCATCTGTGGCAGTTAATGGCAGATTCTCAAAGGTGTTACGCTTATTCTCTGAAGTTTCAAGTATTTTCTAAAATTACTGTTTGTGTATCTACATTATTCTGGTTGTTCAGTTAAGAGAACAGATTTTCAGCTAGTGTGAATGCCATGCCTTTTTCAATATGGCCCTAAGCTCATGAAATTTGACCCTGCCCTAGTGATATGGCCATTTACAACCTATTTATTTAGGCCTGAAGTAACCTATGAAGGCCTCAACCAATTAACCTTCAAACTAATATTAAAAGAAAAACTAAATTATAATAAAAGAAAAACATTTCACCAGTGAATATTTAATTTGTATGTAATGTGGAAGACTAGGCATTGTCAGCCACTTTCCTTTGTACAGGCTAAAACAGGTTTTCTTGAAGAAATAAAGTGAGTGTCTTCTTTTAAACCTCCTACAGAAAGGCCCAAGAAGCTAAATACACAGGGCCTAGTTGTAAATAGGGCGGATAATGCTATCCAACGGATAAATCGCTATCCAGCAGACAAGTGAGAGGAAAACGTTTAGTGTTATCCACCGGATAGAGATTTATCCAGTGGATAGTGTTATCCAACCTTTGAATAACTGGGGCCAGATTTATGTACTTTTGTACCTCTCTTGAGAAAAGGCCTTTAAATACCATAGCATGCTTTCCCAACCAAAACAACACCACACTGATATCAATACCAAAGTCAAGTTTAATTTAACCTTGGCTGTTTGAAATTTGACAACTAGTGGATTATCTAATAATGCATCTGTAGGTTAACTACACATGTTGATAACTAAGGGCATTATTTTGGGTAGCCTGAATTACAATATTTGTAACCTATCTTAAACTCCTGGATTTCAAGATATCCTCTGTATAGGTAAGTAAAATTAAATAGAGTCTATTAGATAAAATATCTTGTCATTAAATTCTGAACTTTATCCTCCACTTCTGAAGAGAGCAACAAGCCTTTCCTGACTTGTTAACTTTTTCAATTTCTCTGAATAAAATTTGCTCTAATGTAAATTAAAGTTCCTTCTTTTGGGAAAATATGTTCTTCTCGAAAGATGTTTGTACTTAACAGTGATTATTTCATGCTGTTTGAAAACTTGATAGAAAACTTCCAGAAAATCCAACACAAGACTTTTCAAGCAGTTAACAACACATTGCCACATATCAAGAAGACCATTCCCCATGTTAGAATGACTAGTAATGTATCTTTGTCTAACACACCAGTAGGGAAGAAAGTTGTCAATCCCTCCTAAAGAAAATTTGTCTGCAGAAGAGTTTAGTTATGTCTTTCTGTAGTTGCCTGGTAACTAGACTTCTTGTCTGCCTAGCCCTAATAAAATGACAAAAAAACTAGTTTCCACACTCTTCAACTAATTTTATTTCTTTGATTTCTTCTTGAGTTTATCTCTCATTTCCTTTAGCTCTGCCAATTCCTTCAACTGCTCAATTTCATCTTCCAGGCGAGCTATCTTGGCACTGGTGAAACAAGAAACAGAAACATTTACATAAGATTTTTAACAACCCATGAAAGATGCATCATTCAACCAAACAAAGATAAAGGTCAAATGGCCTTCAGGAAAAAAAAGGATGCAAAAAAAGAGATGCAATTTTAAAGGGAGGCTAGACACATAAGGGACCTTAAACAGTCAGGACGACAACCTAGAAGAGGATGTTGATAAAAAAAATATTTAAATTTTCTGTAAGAATTTTGCAAATGGTACATGAGCAGCATTGAGTTCAAAATGGAAACTTAAAGAAATTTTTGTAGTGGTCTCCATTCTTATACTGCACAAATTTTGGTGATTTCACATTGTTGTTTTGCAGAGGATGGCTTAAAGATGTCCAAGAAAGGAGATATTCTTCTTCTCTTTAGATTTTTTGCTTTTCTGCATTCCCCACCATAGCAGTCATGGTTTGCTTACAGTCCTAAATATAACTAGTGATGTAACAAGATGGTTAAACCAGAAACAGACCAGCAGCTAAAAAACAAAAGCTGCATACAGTGGGAGCAACAACTCTCAGTTCCCTTGTCCTCCCGAAACAACTCTTTCCCATACTGCCCTTCCCCTAACAATGTGTCCAGAATTTAACTTCTTTAATCAGGGAATATCACATTAACAATAACTCCCACGATGAGAGTTCATGATTGCGACAATCTCCTACATTTACCTCTTATTTTCTTCCTTTTCTATTTGTGAATAACTGCTTTCCATACAAGACAAATCATCATCTTCGTCATTGAATCTGCGGGAAAGATTACATTCAAACAAGTTACAATTAGAATATCTAGACTTTTGGATAGCGGGTCTTTGATTAGACTGTCTGAGCACTGGTACAATAACTTATAATCATTCACTGAAAGGCTTCATGAAAAAAATCTTAGGGTAGTTGGTTAGTTTTCATAAAAATAAAGTTGTATTCTGCAAACTAGATTGTCCGCAGTTGCCTGTTTCTAAAATATATGTCACATACAGATCCACCACGCTTATGACTGCTAATGTTCTAGATGACACTGTTGCAAAGCTATCACTTGTGATAGACATGAATGCCCTAGACGCTGCCACCTTGACAACGTTAGTTAGTCGATACAAATGTCTGTTGTAATTGTTTTTTCTTTAAAACATCAAAAGAAATTTAACCCTAGCATCCAGTTCCTCCTCACTCTATCATCTCTGAATGACACATGAAGGTCACAAGAATAAAGGAAATGATCATCAACTAATTTAAGTAGCTCTTGATAGTTAAAGAAATTCTCCTGGTCAGTACTAAAGGAAATATAACTGCAAGAGAGTGGAGAATATATATACTGATGGTAAGGTGTAAATCAGTCTGTAAAAGAGATACAAACCTTGATCTGTCATAACCAAAAATTTCCTTTATATACTTAGAGACATCAGCAGGGTCATCGACATCTTCATCATCAATGAAATCATCCATCTCATCCATATAAGGATTCCTTTTCCTTTTTAGCAGCATTCTTTCCTTTTGACGGTAAAGTTGTCTTTCTTTCACTAACTGTCTTTCCACACTTGGACTAATATGTTTTGAGTTACTTGGTATTGGTGCAATTGTAGAGTTTTTTTTACTGACCAGATGCTCTTTACTTCTGCTCAATAACCCTAAAGATTGCTTTGAGTCCTGCTTTTCTTTCATTCTCAAACTCTGTGTTGAAGATGATGGTTTAGCTTTGACCCTGCTATCATTTGTAGCCAGTTTTGATGATGTCTTAGAATCCCTAGTTGGAACTGTTTTTGGGTGCTTTGTTCTCTTATCCTGTGCTGGATTGGTAAATTTGTCTTCTAAACTTTCCTTTTTGACATGATTGCTTTCCTTGTCACTTTCCTTTTTCTTTGCACTGCTAACATTTTGTACTGATGATTTTAAAAGGGCACTCCCATTCTTATTGCGCTCAGCAGCAGCCAGTAAATCTTTAAAACTAAGAGGTGCACCTTTCTTTGCAGAAGATGACTTTGACCTTGTAACACCATTTTTGCCATCAGCTTCCTGAGATAGTCTAGTTCTGTCGCGATCAGTGTTCTTTGAAGATGAAGCCTGGAGCTTTTTAGATGCTCTTTGATCTGAGTTTTTTTGTTTTTCATTCAATATTCTAGTTGATTGTTTTCCATTTATCACATCTGTCTTTGATGGTTTTTTTTGTCCTTCCTGTGATGATACTCCACCCTTAGTAACTTTTGAAGACTCTGTTCTTTTAACACCTAGGGACTGGGCTAAACGTTCCTCAATCCTTGCTCGTCTTGCTGCCTCTTCTTCAGCTAAATAAAAAAAAAAATGAATTAAGGGGGTAAGTTTCTAAAACAAAATGTAGTGCTGTGTTGCCAGGAGAGTATAACAAGATAATTTGGTTCTATCAACTCAGTTGATGATGTAAATTGGCCACTGTAAAGAGTTTCAAAGCTGACATTTCAAGTGTTGTCAGGGTGAATAAGAAGACAAAGGAAGGGCTATTACTCAAAACACCAGCTTTAGAAAGTCTCTACAGTTGCCAATTTAGTTATCAACTCAGTCCATAAAACCAAGTTATCCTCTATAAAAAACAAAACAATGTCATCAGAAAAGAAGGTATGTCTCATTCATATCTGCAAGAACAAATTAACACCCCAAAAAGTTGTATGTTGATTGTCTGAATCAAGTAACATTAGAAAGCAAACTTAAGCATAATGAGTATACGGCTCTTCTTGCCGTGAAACACTTCTATTCAAATTCATGCTACTGTTTTTGATGTCAGAGTCACTTCTTTCACCCAACCAACCAAAAATATTAACCAAAAATGCTTATCTCAATAAACCCTGAAATCATACAGTTTAAAACCTTAAATGTGGAGTAAACCCCTTCCAGTACAAAGAAGAAGTAGGAGACGGAAGTCTACTGCTAACTATTATTCTGGACTATGTCACGAAAAGTAACTTTGGGTGTATCCTGCTCCCCTAGGATGGAACATGGTTTCTTTATAGTTTATCCTCACCCTCACACCCCAAATACCTCTAAGGTATTTTGTTGTTTTGTTCCCTGTTACTCAATGAACTTTTTAAAGCCAGTATCAATCAGGATTCCTACCTGCCTTCTTTTTTTT